TCTGTCAATCTACCTACTTACCTGCATACCTACCTCCATATATGTACTCCATATATATGTATTTCTCAAAATATGTATTTCTTCATATATATCCCTCCATATGTGTATATGTATTTATATATATATAAATACTTCTCTCTCTACATATATATCTCCTTATCTCTTTTTCTAAATCTCTATATATCTCTATATATCTATGAATCTCCATTTATTTATATATCCATATCCATATCTATATTTATCTACCTATGTCTATCTTTCTCTATCTACCTGTATCGATCTATATCTATCTACCTATCGTCTATCAACCTATTATCATTATCTATCTCTACGTCATCCATCCATCCACCCATCCATCCATCCATCCATCCATTCATTTATCAATCGCTATCATCTATCTCTCTCGCATCAATCCATCTATGTATCTAAGTATCTATCTATCCATCTATCTATCCATGTATCTATGTATCTATGTATCTATCTATCTATCTGTCTATCTATCATCTATCTATGTATCTATGTATCTATCTATCTGTCTATCTATCTATCTGTCTATCCATCTGTCTATCCATCTATCTATCTATCTATCTATCTATCTATCTATCTATCTATCTATCTACCTATCTATCTATCTATGTATCTATATCTATCTATCTATCTATCTATGTATCTATATCTATCTATCTATCTATCTATCTATCTATCTATCTATCTATCTATCTATATCTATCTATCTATCTATCTATCTATCTATCTATCTATCTATGTATCTATCTGTCATCTATCTATGTATCTATCTATCTATGTATCTATCTCTCTATCTCTCTCTCTCTCTATCTATCTATGTATCTATGTATCTATGTATCATCTATCTATGTATCTATGTATCTATGTATCTATCTATCTATCTATCTATGTACCCATCTTTCTATCATCTATCATCTATACATCCATGCATCCATTGTCTATCTATCCATCATTTCTTTCTCTCTCTCTGTATCATCTCTCTATCTAGGTCTCTATCTATCTATTATCTATCTATCATCTATCTAGATGTTAAGCAGACAGAGATGGCATCTGTCCTGCCCTTCCTACAGAGGCTGCATTTCACAGTAGAAGCAGAGTGAAGTGATGGGGAATTTGGAGCCTGCAGCTCACCCTGCAGAGAAAAGCTAGAAGGAAAACCTCCACCTTGCACTTCCCCTCTGACCTTTTGGCCCCGGGCCACGCTCACCCATGGCAGCCAATGGAAACTCTGGGATGAAGAGCTTCGTAAAGGAGGGTTCACTGGGCAGACGCCTCCCGAGCCTGCAGAGTTATCCCGATGCTCCCAAGGGTGGAGCTTCTGGACATCCCGTGCCTCTGGGTGCTGCCAAGAAGGAAGGTTCAGCATCACTTATGACGCGCTGTTGCAGAGAAGAGACGGAGCTGAATGTGCAAGCTCGGACACGGGAAACGCAGACAGAGCACGCTGAACGCCACTGCCGTGACACAAGCACATGCCAGCCGCCAAATCCTGGACCCGTGACCCGGCGTCTTCATCAAACCGATGCATAAGAATAAAGATGGGCAGGCGGGCAGCGAGTGGAAACTGTTACAGGTCAAAGAGATTTGAGATGCACAAACCAAATGCAGCGTGTGGACCCTTTGGACGCTGATGCAAACAGACCCATTGTAAAAAGATGCACTGGGGACACACGGATAACCAAGGAGCCAGACTGAGCCCTGAGGAGTTTGCAGGAAGGCGTCACGGAGTTAGTCACACATGACGGCTGTTCCGTGAGTGACGGAGAAAGGCGTGTGGTGACGCCGACTTCTTCTTGTAGAGCCGCACGGAAAGTCTTCACGCCGAGATGAGATCATTTGCGGGACTCGCCCTAAAGTTCTCCGACAGCGCACGGCTGGCTCCTTCCCTCCCCACAGCTCTCCTTGGGGCATCCTTCTGTGTCATCCCCGTCCAAAATCACACACTCCCGTCCCGCCGTGGACTGCATCCCGCACGTCTTCGTCATCATCGTCTGATTGTCAGCTTTCTCACCAGTAGGAAGCTCCTTTGGGGCAGCGATTTTTCTCTGCCTCCCCATCCGATGCTCCGTTGGCTACTCAAGAGGCGAGAACAGAACCGGCTGCATAAATCGGTGCTGAGTGCATGAACCATCTATCGAGGAACCGAGTTCGGAGCAGCCGGGAGTTATGCCAGCTGCAAAGTGGCTCTGAGAAAGGGCCACGGGGACGCCAGTGCTGGGTCTCAGCCTGTCCGCGGGGAGCCAGTTGGTCTCCGCTGCTCCTCGATGAGGCCAACGGAGCACCCCAGCTGTGCCTGTCATCCTGCTGGGCAACGCTGTGCCGCGGTCACCAACGTCCTGGGACTCTGCCTCTGCAGCCGTCTCCCCGTGTGAGCACAAGGGCACCACCCTGCAAGCCAGAAAGTCACGCCAGGACGGTCCACGCCAGGGAGTGGACGACCGAGCGTGCACCTGCCCGGTCCAGCTGGTGCTGGAAAACAATGGGGCCAGAAGGGGCACTTCTGCTGGGGAGAAGGACACAGGATGCTCATTGGGGCCACAGAGGGATACGGGGGCGTTCGGTCCTGAGTGCTGGGGGCAACCGGTTAAATTCCTCATTTTTTATCGAGGTGCCGCCGACATGCAGAAAATGCTGTGTGCACGGCTTGATGCATTATTCCCATTCATGTGTGCTGTATTTGGGGCTGGTTTCCAACACCAACGTCCGATTCTCCACGTCTCCAGACCCTACTTCAGATGTCAGCGGTAAATTCCCAGCCGCCTACACTTCTGACCCACTGGCTTGTCAATCAGGGCTTCCACGACCCCCTCCTCAAGGTTGATTGTTTGTTGAGCGACTCACAGAACTCAGGAAAAGACTTTAGTTAGATTCGATGGTTTATCACAAAGGATGCACTCAGGAACGGCCAGACGCAAGAGATGCCCATGGCGAGGCCTATGGGAAGGGACGCAGAGCTTCCGTATCCGGCAAAGTCTCAGGTCCGAGGACGGCTCAGAGCTCGCTCATCACGGTGGTTAAATGAATCTCCTCAGTAGCTTTCTCCTTGTCAACAGACCCAACGCTTATGGGACCCGTGTTTTTGTAGGACCATCTCACTTGTTCCCAAGGTGTTCCATACGCACCCACCAAGTGCTGGACCCTGCTGCCTTTCCATGGGGGCATTCATTCCCTGTGACGTGCTTCTCGTCTCAATAAGAGCCACACCGAAGTCGTCCCTACTACTTCTCTTAATCTGTGAGTCAGAGGATGGCCTGAAGGTTTCCATTATTCCTTTCTCTCCAAGGTCACGGTCCAGAGTCGATTTGAGCATCTCCGTGGGAAATCCCTCCCACCCCTGCTCAGGCCCGCTGACCCAGACAAAGACTCGTGGGGGTGTGAGGAGGAGGCTGAGGTCAGCTCAAGACAGAGGACCTCCAATTAGGGACGCGCGCTCCACGGAGACGGGGGTGCGAGGGGCAGAGTCTCCCTTTCCCTCCCTTTGCTGTAATGCAGTAGGAGGGAGGTCCGTCCCACCCATTACTGAGGCCCAGTGTCCCCACCGTCCAGCGTGGAGACTCCTTGTGCACCAGGGACGTGAGGAACGGGGCTGTCATCCATAGCCTTCATGGGGACACAGGCATCCTCGGACCCAGGTCCCTACGCTCGTCCAGCCCCAGGACCTTGGCTTCTGAGCCACGCGTGGGCGTGGGGTCTCTGCTGGCTGGGAGGGCTCTGTCCAGGGGTTTGATGCCCAGGTCACGGCCGTCCCACCAGGAGGGGGACCTGCTTCCTGGGGCACTTCTTGGACAACTTCGACCCCCGTCACTTGCTGGCCTGGGCACTCTCCATCCCTCCTCTCCCTTGATGTGTCTCAGATGCTCCCCGTCCAGGAGGCTGGATGCATCTTCTCCCGAGGATTTGGGCCCCGGACATGAAGGTCCGAGGAAAAGGATCCAGAAGGCTGCTCTCTGCCCTGACCCTAAACGCCCCCAAGCCTGGAAGCACGGGACTGGCAAGTGTTTGTAGGACGGAGATGGGGAAGACCAAAGGAAACGTCTTGAACTCAGATCCCAAGATCAGACCCAACCCATCGCCTTGTCCCGGTGAGCCTTCCTTTCCCTGGAGTCCCTTAGGGCTCCTCAGCCCTATCTCTTCATGTCTTATTGCCCATCACTGTATTTGACATTTAAGCATCTGCAGAGATGGGGTATTACTGGGCGTGGGAGACAGAAAAATATCCCCCAAGACGTCCACGTCCTAATCCCCGTGTGGTAGACAAAATAATGTCCCCAAAGACGTCCA